TTACACTTCCCAGGTCATAGTCTGTCACTGAGGGACATCAGGGAAAGAACTCAAGACAGTAATCTGAAAGTAGTATTACTGGCTATCCCACACAATATTATCTCCAACCAAAAAACTCATTCACACCCAAGGATGTGCAGAAACCATGGAGGAATGTTCTTGCTTGCTGGCTGGCTGGCTGGCTTGCTTTCTTTCTTTCTCTAGTTCATGCTTAGCTACCCTCCTTACACAGCCTAGAACTACATACCCAGGGAATGGTGCTATCCACAATGGGCTAAATGTTTCTACATTAATTAGCAATCCTTCATAGGCATGCCCACATGACAACCTGATTAAAACAGTTACTCAATTGAGACTGCCCTTTCGGGTGATGCTAGACTGTGTCAAGTTGATAGGTAATGCCAGCTACACACTTTATTCTCCTGATCTACCCATATAGTTATTCATAAACTTACCAGGCATTCACATCTCTCCAAATATTCTAAAATGAAGCTCATATAACCTATTTAAATATACATTGTTGAGGGGGGAGCAGATAGGGCAGGGAAGGAGAGAGATAAATATGTGTACATAGCCCAATCTCTAATGTAAAAAGACATAAAAGTAAAGTAAATTTTAAGTGGAAGTATTTTAACACAAGGATGTTGGGGCATAGCAAATCTGTGCAGAATGAAGTGTTCCCATGTTTATTTCTGAGTGAAGGGTCGCAATAATTGGAGGGCTACAAATTAGACCAACAGAGGAGTGTTGTAATGACAACTCAGACTCCAGCAAGGCTCAGCCAGCCCTGGGGGATTTGGAAATGGTAAACAATTCCTGGTAAATTGCCAACTGAGCAGTGCTTTCCCTCCCCTTGATTTACATGGTGGTTATGTTCTAGAAAAATAAAATCCATCGCTCATTAAAATTGCCAGCTAGAACAAAAAGCCTGATTTTCACACAGAGCCCAGCTCTCTCAAAGGAGAGCTGGCTCAGGTTTGTGCAGGATATAGGCAGTCACCCCTTGGGTGGGGTTGTCCATGGCCCCCTTATAACAAGCATTGTTGGACTCTGGGGTATATGAAAGAACTCCCCGCATGAATTGAATTTCCCCAGATGAGTCTCCATGCCTGGTGACTCCATAGGATGCTTCACTTAGATCCCTTGTCATTCATCTGTCCTCTCTTCACAGCATGCAGAACCCAGCTGTCTCGCTCTGTCACTCTCCCCTGTGGCTCATGTACTTGATACTTGTTTAAAACAACACACACACACACACACACACACACACACACACACACACACACACACACACACACACACACAGCTGACGGAATGAGGAAGATGTTTCCTAAGGGAGAACACGGCTTTGGATAGCATTTCTCTTTAGTTCACCTGAAAAGAACCTTGTTATAAAATCCTGTGCCTCGCCAGTTGAAAGACGTAAAAGATGTTTTAGTGTGTGATGCTAAGACACGCTTCTAGTTCAGCATCACAACACACACAGACGTCAATCTCAGGAGAATGCCCCTTTGATGGCTAGGATGAATGCTGTCACCGCTGCATGCTGGTGATGATTAGGGCAGCTGATCACCTTGGCATAGTAAAGGCTAGGCTTGGCTCTGCAGAGGCTGGATTGCCTCAAGCTGGTTTCCCTGAGGCAGTGAGGCTGCCACATGCGAGTGCCAGGTGCACACTTGGCCACTCCTCTGCGTTCTGCTGCGGGTTTTTAACATTTCTGCCATAAGGGGAAGGTCTATTTACTGAGACATGGTGGCTTTTCATAGCCCAGGCATATGCTCTAGAAATCGACTGTGTTACACCCCTTCTGTATTGAATTTTTTTCCTGTCAGAGGCTGTGAAATTGGCTTCTTAAATCAGAAACAGAAACATACAAGCTGGCCTCATTTGTTAATTTGTAGGCTGCTGAAAAGAAAAAAGAATCAATCTTTACCTTGCTCTTTATGGAAACATGTTTTTGGTCTCCCCCTCCCCCCCCCAAAAAAAAGAAACTCTCCATAAGCCTGTCCTTTGGTAGCAGCTGGCCTCTTCCGCCATCTCGCCTCATCCCTTTGACCATCACCTGCATTCTCACTGGGAGATGAAGGATGCAAGCTCCCCTGGTCCCAGGGGCCGGCCACCAGTCCCTTTTTATACTGCTGCTTCTGCATACACCATTCCTCTGGCGAAATTCACACTAAGTGACTCCTGATGCCTCGCTTCCAGGAGCCTTTACTGGCCACCAGTCCTCAGGTTTCCTGAAACTGTCACTTACTCTAACCTTTTGGCTTCATCACATTGTAATTTATCACCCTCAAAGTACATCACCTCCTCTGAAATGTTGTGACATTGAGGACTCAGGCAAAACTAATATACAACTTAGAAAAGCTTGGCATGCTTAGAAAATATGAATAGATGGGGAGATCATTGAAAACTCTCTATTCCCCTTTCTGTTATTGATGCCTGCCATGTGCCTTACTACTGTGTTCCTACACTAAGGCAAGCCTGTCAGCTTTCTATGTGTTTCCCCCTGCCATGATTCAAATATAACCCTGAGAGTTCATGATTTGGAAAGTAAGTCCTCAAATTTACATGCTGATGATATTCAGAGGTATCCCTTTGGGGGGGTGAGTTGTCCTGACTGTGGACATGGTGATAGGACATGCATGATGCAATTAGTTTCTAAAAGAGGCAGAGGGGAGGCTTGTTTGCCCTGTCTCACAAAAGGCATTCACCAGAGACTGAACAGATGCCAGCATTGTGCTTTTGGACTTTTAAAGCTCCAGAACTACAAACTAAATCAACTTCTTTATAATGTACTGCATATGTGACCTTTGGGGACAGGCCAGGAAACAGGCCATGACACCTTCATAATCATCTTCCATAGCTCAGGACAGAGTCTTCTGAAATTCAAATAGAGTTCATGTACACCATTCCTGAGGACAGACTCTGTCCTCGCTCCTTGCTTTTATCCCAGTGACTGACTCACAATGTTTACACAGAGTCTGAATGGGCTGGCATTCCCTGGCAGAGAAATAGGGACAGTGGTCCTGGTGTGAACATCCTGGGACACTGGTCATGGTATGAGCATCGTGGTCTTCTGATAAGTGCCACAGAGATGGCATTCCTCTGCCTGGATTGCCAGTGTTTGGTTACTGAAGACATTCCAGGTAAGAAAGCACCAGATAAGAGCTTTCAGGTACCCCAAGAGAGAACTCTTTATACATCCTAGTCATTTTCCCAGTGTTCAAGCATAGTCACTGTCAGGACATAATATCTTCCTATAAACCAAGATTCTCCATGGGTGGGTGCATACCTGTTACATGCTGAACAGACGCCTTCTGTGTCACTGGCTTCCATGTCAGTCTACCTACAACTTCAGCTGCTCCAACATATTTTCTGTGTTGCTTGTGCTTTGATGTGGTCATTAAAATTTCATCAAGCCCCCTTGGGATGATCTACATTCTTCCTCAGACCAGTGCACAGAGCCAAGTCATTAAAATGTTAAAGATCTCAACCTATAAGCAGCAGACCTACCCCAGCTCAGGTGTGTAGGGGAGCCCATAGTGTTCTGTGAAGCCATCTCCTTGATCCAAGATCTGCACCTACCTGTGTTGAGCCTGGCTACAGAGTTGGTGGTCTTCATTGTGCCTGTGTCTAATCAGGGACAGCCAGCTGTCCCTTGTGAGTGTCATGCTATACCTTACCATGCAGGATGAGTGGTAAATGCAAGGCCTACCCGACCTGAAGTTACAGGATGGGAGAAGAATGCAGAGGCGCTCCTGACTGCAACAGGGAAGATAATCATGGCCCCACTTAGATCTGGACCCCATACACACCTGTAGCCTACCATCAACACTCACAGAGATGTAGCATCTGTGGCTAGCACATGTGCCCCAGCCTCCTTCCTTCATGACTCCCGGTGTGGGGACTAGCTGTAGGAACAGTCTTCACAGTGATCAGATCTACAGGCACAACATACACCATGCTATTCAGGAAGTAACACTGGTGCCTTCTGTTGAAAAGCCTGCCATCCATCCCATCAGCCATATGGGTCTCTGTTAGAAGGGCCAGAGTGCTTGGCTTCCTGTGGTGTTGGGGCTGGAAGGAAAACGGGCTCCTTTTCAGGCCAATTTCAGAACATTACTGAAAAACTAAACATTTTACAGTGAAAACACCACTTGGAAGACTTTTAAAATGTGGAGTTTTATAATTCTTCTCCATCTAGCATCTGAGACGCCTCTTCTCCAGCCAGGGTTGCCCTTTACTAGCCTTGGAGCTAGTAAATTGCCCAGACTCTGGGCCACATGGTTTGCAAAGGAGCTTCATTGAGTTTGGGGGTGGGGGGGGTTGGCAGCTGTTCAGAGAAACATCATGTTCATTCCTGTGAGATTTAGCTTATTGGAAAAGGCAACTGTTGAATTGCAGGTGTAGAACCAGAATGTCAGAAAGCTTCAACATCTAGTGACCAGGTCTGCCTTCAGGCAAGGGACACGGCACAAAGGTTTTGAGTTGGCATTCTTAGAGTCTTTGGAATTCACAGTGTGCAGGGATATGATGCTCTGTGTACATTATATCCATACATGTCTTTCTTCATTGGCTAGTACATGTGTTTTGTGCATGTGATGTGCAAAAGATCAATGGATGTCTTTCTTTATCGGCTAGTACATGTGTTCTGTGTGTGTGATGTAATCCTTCTTTGGGGATTAATTCTCCGTTATTACTATTTACCACTAACAGACATTTAGACATAATATAGAGATTACCATAATTTCCTCTCCTGTTTTTCCTTTTTCCTACATTCCTAGTACCTTCTCACTTTCTCCATATTGTTTATCTTTTACTTTTATAATGGGAAAAGAAATCAATGGCTTTGTATTAAGACCCTTTCAGGGTTTGGAAGACTGTGAGAAGGCACATCTTTATGTGTGCATGACTTAAAATGGTAAGTAGTCAAAGGAGTTACATCTTCAACACTTCTCAAGGGACTGTTGACATGTGCTGTCTCTGCTCTCTCCCAGGTGCCTCAGGATGACTGGGGTGCATATCCCACAGGTGGCAAAGAGGAAGAGATACCCTGCCGCAGGATGAGAAGTGGCAGCTACATCAAAGCCATGGGTGATGAGGAGAGTGGAGAGTCAGACTCCAGCCCCAAAACATCTCCAAAGGTGACCCTCCGGCCAGAGCCCCTGCTGAAGTCCATTGTACAAAGACCACTTGGAGACCACCAAACGTAAGAAACATTTCTTCTCTCTCCTGACCATTTCTGTCCCTCCCCAGGGCTAGTTAGCCGTAGGTGAGCTATCCCCACTTTGAATTAAGTTGACAGTATTAGAGCCTATGCCATCTGTTTCCTCATTCTTTTTGTCACATGACTACCCTACTTGGCAGGGTTACTGTGTAATTTTATCGTGTTCTCCTTCCCTTTTCTCCCTTCAGACCCTCCTGTATACTCCTCTCCTTGCTCTCTTTGGAATTTGTGCCCTCTTCTTTCATTGTTTTATAAGTACAACCTGCTCAGTCTATAGAAGGTTGTCTGTATATGCGTCTTGAGGACTGATCATTTAGTATTGGATAACCAGTCGGATGACCAATCAGACTTTGGTTCTTTACTTCATTATTGTGCAAATATGCTTGGGCAATTTCTGTGTCTGACTAGGTTTTAGTTTTGGATTTTTGAGGGGATGGTGTTGAGGTAGGATCTCATGTAGACCAGGTTGTCCTGAAACTCACCATGTACCAAGGATGACCTCTGGGTCATCTTTTGATCCCTCTGCCTCCTCCTGTGTGATTTGAAGCCTCCAATATGTATTAGGACCTAGCACATTATCCAACATTGCACTAAGACAGACATGTTTCTATTCAAATAACGGTGTGACTGTGAATGTCTGTGAGGAAGTATCTGAACAAGGGTGGGTGGACCACTTCATAGCAGATTTTTGTAAAGGTGAAGGACATGGCTTGTTTTCACAGACGTAAGATCAATAGACTCTGTATATTTGTTCAAAGGCAAACCATTGATAAGCTTAACTCCTGAGATATAAACAGCTAAAACCACTTGGGAAATTAGCTATTGAACTATGCAAAACGCAGTTGCTCTCAGCAGTCTCCCTGATGGCGTGTTCAGTATGTCAGGGAGTCTGGTTATAAATGCTAAGAACCACCTGGTGCCTACTCACTTCCCATTTAGAGATGCCTGTCCTGCATAAGTGGACAGCAGCAGGTGGCAAGCCGCTCAGTGTTCTGTGTGTTCATACAGTTGTTCCCTGTGATTCTCGGTGAAACACCAAACTCTAATCAGAGTCACCCTTGTGTAGCCTCCACTAGCATGGTACTCATCATAATTAGGCAATACTACCATAATGTCTTCCATTAAACCCAATAACTCATGAGCATTAGCTTACAGAGTGCAAATTTAAAAATTGAATTCCAGAAGAACTTATTGGGGGAGTCATGCAGCCTGGGGCAGGCCATGTGAGCAACCATCTTTCTTAGAGAACAGAGAGGTGTATAGTGTAATTTTTTTTATTTAAAACTTTTATTTTTCATTTTACATACCAACCTCAGTTCCCCCTCCTTCTCCTCCTTCTGCCTCCTCACCTCCCCCCTCCCCACCCTCCACCTACTCCTCAAGGGCATAAGGCCTTCATTAGGAATTCAACAAAGTCTGGTATACCAAGTTGAGGCAGCACCAAGCCCCTCCCCACTGTATCAAGGCTGAGTAAAATATTCCACCAAAGGGAATGCGCTCCACAAAGCCAGCTCATGTACCTGGGATAGGTCCCGTAGCCACTGCCACCCACCCCCAACAGATCAAGCCACATAACTGTCACCCACATTCAGAGGGTTTAGTTTGGTCCCATGCAGGTTCCCCACTGACAGAGTAGTGTAATTTAAACTAACCTTATTCCTCGGCTTACCTGCAGGTCGAACAGGGCTGGGGGTGGACCCATTGGCATGGGGAAGAGTTCTTCCTGCTGCACTGAGACCAGAAGTACGAACCACTTAAGTTAACCGAAGCTTTTATTTTCTAATAAGCTGCATAAATAGACCACCTTTATTCTAGAGTTTATTTAGGTTCAGAGACTGTTTCAAATGAAATTGATTATTCTAAAATTGCATTCAAAATATAATTGTAAATAACAGGGTCTGACAGGCTCCTCATTATTTTTTCCTTTTGCACACCATAGAATTTCCCAGCAGGAGTGACTGACAGATACTTCCCAGACACAGAGCAATTCAGAGGCTGCAAACAGACACACAAATTCGCTCGTCTCTGTGAGCGTATGTTCTCTTCTATGCCCAAACAATTTGGTTACCTTTGGCAGTCTTTCAGAAAGCAAATGTGGCTGGGGAATGTGCATGGAACTGAACTAGGCCCTCTGAATGTGGGTGACAGTTATGTGACTTGCTCTGGTGAGGGGGGAGGAGCTGGCTGTGGTACCAGTACATGAGCTGGTTTTGTGGAGCCCATTCCCTTCTTTGTGGAGACCTTGTTCAGCCTTAATACAAGGGGGAGGGGCTTGGTGTTGCCTCAACTTGGAATCCCAGATTTGTGCCCTGGAGTGGATGGAGGGGGGGTGAGATAGGGGTAGGTGGGGGTCGGGAGAAGAGGAAGGAAAAGAAACTGGGGTTGGTATGTAATTTTTCTTTCAATTAAAAGAGAGAAAGCAAATGTGATGGTGAGGGATGAACTTGGCAGTGAGCTGGGGAAGGGTCTTAAGTCTTGTCATGGGTTTATCCTGCTGCCCTCTTGGCACTTCCTTTAGCGCTGTGCAATCCCATAAACTAGAATGTATCAGCAGCCTGTTAAGGCTGCCTAGCCCTGGGGTGGGGTGGGGGGTAGAGTTAAACTGTCCCTCTAGTTGTCAGTTTTATCAGTTCTTTTGAGCTGTGTAATAGAAAATCTCCTCCGTGAAAGCTGCAGATACCCTGCTTTTGAAGCGGCGCCTCTTGGAACACCGAAATTATTCTGCGGAAAGCTGTCTTGTCCTTCATCATTAAAGAGTCAGTCCCCTCATTACTGTTACAATGTATCCACATTGTTCACAGGGACACTGTCATTTCCCAAGATGAGTCTCTAAAGCAGTGCATGATCCTAGAAAGTCTTTCTCAGACAGGAACCCATGCCAAGCCTCTCAGCTGCTGGGTTCAGGGATCAGGATGTCCCTGGAGGCCAGGTGGAGGCCTGCCCATCTGTATGCCAGCCCCTGCTGTGCGCCGAGCACCAACCAGGGCTCTTACCAGTTCATTTAAATATGATTTCCAAGCTACTACTGAATCCAATTTACTGTAGTTTTTAATTAGCTTACGTATCAGCAATGAGATACTTGAATTACCAATTCAAGTCTGTTATTATGAAAACTAGAGCTAATAATTTAATTTGAGCCTTTTGCTTTGTTTTTCTTAGTTGAATTAAAAATCAAAAGTCTAATAATGTTGAACCTGCCTGCACCACTCAGCGCTGAAGGCAGCACTTTATACTTGTAAAGAATGGAAGACTTACCCAGGAATCTGCTCACACTCATCAGAAAGCATCTGTATATTCTTAGAGACCCATGAGTCCTGAGGGGCTCAGTCTTGACGGTCAGCTGGACTAGCTGAGACATGACTAGTGAAGACTGCCATGTGGAGCCATGACTGGGAGAGTAACCCCGCCCCCAAGGTGGGTGGAAACATCTGGTAAACATTTCAATGAAAACAAAAGCTGTGAGAGAGTATATGAGCTTTCTTTCTCTTCTGGGCAAGAGTGTCTGTGTCTGCAACAGACCTTCCACATATACTAGACCCCAGCTTTTCCGCCTTCCACTGCGAACTCACTACCTGGTGCTCTTCTAGGTGCTTCCAGACTTTCCACATTGTTAAGCCCGAAATCCAGAACCCGATTTCTAGGGCCTTGGCAAATTCCTTTAACATGTCCCAAATTCAGGGGCCAAGTATGTTCTTTTTGCACTAGTTTCAGGGTTAGGATGTTTTTCCCTGGCTCTAGGCTTAGGGATAAAGTGTCTCTTTTACTAGCTTGGGTCCCAAATCCAGGATGTGTTTCTTTCCCTGGGTTGGGGCTTAGAGCTGAGCCATCCAGGGTCAGTATAGGGGCTTCAAATCAGGGATTTCTGAGGCCTGGGTCTCTCAAAAATGTCCTCAAAAGTACTGAGCATCCTGGTTTGAGTACCTGTTCTCTGTCTCCAGCATCAAGGTAGCCACTGTTGAGTCATCCAGCCCCATGTGGAAGCCAAGTCAATAAGTGTGTGTGTGTGTGTGTGTGTGTGTGTGTGTGTGTGTGTGTGTGTGTGTAATTTCCTTTTGATTTTGCCCCTTTAAGGACCCTTCCTAATGTAGACACACACACATTCTGTAGCCTTAGAATAGAGAAAAATGTTTAAACATCTTATATGAGGAAAAACCATCGATAATAACCAATTTTAATTAACTTTAATTCAATTAAAAACTTAATTTGTGGTCAAAGCAAAGAAGCCAACAAACCAAAAGTTGCTGTCACCAGGCTAATTGACAACAGAAACAGGGAAGGAAATTTTCAGTGTGAAACAAATGTTCATACTTTTAATGTACAGAGACATCTTGGGAATGAAAAATGAAAAGTTAATGTAAAAACAATTACAAATGCTTAAATCTTTCTGGAAAATGTAGAGTTTGGAACTAAAAAACCTGAAATTTATTTTCTTTCTTTATTTTTAAGACAGTTTCTCTATGTAGCCTTGGCTGTCCTGGAACTCACTCTGTAGACCAGGCTGGCCTCAAACTCCGAGATCCTCTTGCCTCTGCCTCCTGAGTGCTGGGATTAAAGAAATGCACCACCATCACCTGACCTAAAATTTATTTTGAAATTTTTTCTGTAGATTATGAATACATGAGAAAATATAGCAGTGCCATCTGCTTGAGTGTGTGTCCCTGTAAGAGGCTTTGGGGCAGCTGACTGCCTGTTCTGAGGAGGGAGTATGAGACAAACCTCAGCAGGGAAATGGCCTATCCCCAGGGAACGGCAATCTTTACCAGCTCAGTTCCTGGCCAGCTTCTCCTATTAATGAGCGTCAAGCACCGTGCAGGGCAGAGGCTTCTTTTCCACCTGCAAGCGTGAATACCATTTGCCTCCATTTTTGCTTTTTCACAAATGATAGCAACAACCTCCCACCAAAATTAAGATGCTGGGCGGGTGGACTGCTTGAAGCACAAGCAAAAAGACCTAGAGAGGTGACTCAGCAGTTACAGAGAGGC